TGCATAAAAAATCGATAGCTGCATTCGTCACAAGTGGGAAAAATTTAAATCTGCATGGCACTTTACTCCAATTGGCTCATTCGCTTGCTTAAACTCAACGTTGATTCTGATTCCGCAGAACCGGGTTGGGTGTGAAAAGTATTTGTTGTTAACATTCTTTTTTCATTCGGTTTTCCAGTTACGAATCCTTTTTAAAGCTGATCGTTTTGTGTTCATTTTGTTTAGTTCTTTTTTCGTAACAGATTTAATGTTTAGTATAGAGCTTAGAAAAAATTCGCAGTGTGAGATAGGCAAGAAGTAAGGCATGTAGCAACATCAGCACGGCAAAGGGCACTCCTTTAAAGGCAAGGAAGGGCAAAAATATTTTAAGTCAAGTGATAGCGATTGTTGTATGAGTCGTACGATTTTTGAATCAAGCAACGCCGGGCCATGCTGCTAGTATATATATAAGTGAACATTGAAGTCAACACTTTGAGGCGACAGGCTGTTTCATGCTAGAAGCAATCGTCCTGACGATTGCGTCTAGCATGAAATAGCCTGTCACCTCTAAGTGTTGACTTCAATGTTCACTTAACATATTTACACACGCTCTATCTCAGATATTGAGCACTTTATCCCATAAATATAGCACACTTTACGACTATATTGCTTCATATATATATATATATATATATATATATATATGAAGAGAGAGAGAGAGAGAGAGAGAGAGAGAGAGAGAGAGAGAGATAGAGAAATAGCGTCGCAAGAGGTTGTTCAAGGGGATAGTTGCTCCAGGGCCTAGATGTGAAGGGATGCAAATGTTTTCACGGCAGTAATATGTGGTGATTAATTATTATGTCCCACGTTTTGAGATAGGGACAGTTGTGGTCCCGGGTGCTGAGCACTACTGGTGGAGTGTATTTAAAGCGTTAGAAAATTTCATCTAACTTGTATGAAATAAAATACCACCCACTATTCCTCTTCCGTCAGTCAAAGAAATTAATATTCGGTTGGGATCTTGGATTACTTTTCCTTGGAGAGGAAGGAATGAAAATCCTTTAAACACAGATAAATATTCGCTAATTCCCCAAATGTCTTTTTCGGGATTATTGTTAATCTTCTCGATTGTATACGCCTGTATGTGAAGCAACATTTACGAGCATTTAAGTTGTAATTAAAACGGTCCCTAGCGAGAATGAACTTGTCTGAGCTTAGTGAAAGAGAAAATCTGGGTATTTTCCAATGTAATCCATGAAGGAAAGCAAAATGGATATATATATATATATATATATATATATATATGAAATATTTGAAAAAATTCACACACAACATTATCCAGGTTTCAAGCTTACGATCACATCATGTGGTTACTGGTAAATAATTATTAAGTAAGGTTGAAATACGGGTAGTGTTGCGTGTGAATTCTTTTCAAATCTTTTATATTATTATCCGCTCTGCACGTTCAGTTTCATGAATTATTTCTTAAAATATCCGTCGATTGGTCTGACTCAGTCTGACCTAACATTTTTTTATATTCTCATATATATATATATATATATATATATATATATATATATATATATATATATATATATATATATATAAAGAAAGAACAGTAAGATATATAATCCGGTGTTCTTATAGATATTTTTATTTTACTAAATAGTGCTCAATGTAAATTTACAGAGTATTAATATTATAAATTAACTGATTTAAAATATGTTTTTTTTCGCTACACAGTTCTCATCATGCTTCAAAATGGAAGCTAAAAGCTTGAATTTAATTTTGTAATTAAATTAAAGACATTAGTTCCATTTCATCCTCAAGCGAATTATATATATAAAGAGAAAGCGCAAACTTTTTTTTGTTATAATATGAATTTTTTTTTAGTATATATATATTTTATTCCTCATATTTTCTCTAGTTGGAACAAACTTTTCTTATATATATATATATATATATATATATATATATATATATATATATATATATATATATATAGGATAAGTTTGAAAGGAAATATATAGGAAAATTATATATATATATATATATATATACGTTTACACACAAATGACAATGATTAAAAAAAAAGATTCTACGGTGGAAGTAAACATTCATTCCTTTAAATAATATGTGGAAGTAACCATTCTTCGCCTGATGCAATATTTGAACCTTCTGCTCCCTGTTTTGCGTGTAATAGTTTATTAATTATATGTCCCGGAGCGCTCGCTTCACAAAGGACATTACATTGTCTGCCAAACCCACAAGCTCTTTTCAAAATTGGAATCAAAAATAAGGTACTGGTGTTAAATCAAATGTATACTGCTAGTTTATATTATCATTTCCCTTGTAAATCTCAAAGCGTGGCTGTCCCTCGCGGTCGAGTATGATGTTCTTGTTCTGTTTGCCTCAGTCAGTTGGGTTTGTGGACATTGAGAGATATTTAATGAGACCATTTTTGTTTGAAAGTTCCTTCATCATTGAGGGTAGATGGCTCCAGATGGTGCATCAAGCATTGGTTGTTGTCTTTCTTTTCGACGTCTTCTTTCTTCCTCAAGTTCGGGTGATCGTTTGGATTCGAAGATTATTGTCCCATCTTTCACAATCGATACCCAGAGATTCCTACCGATTGCAGTGGATCCCCAACTGTTGATGTCGATATTAGATTTTCGCCTTCGAAAATAGTTTTTTTCCAAGATCGTGACACCAGAACAGATACCAAAATGTTAGTTGACAAGACAGTAGTAATTCCAACTCTCCTGTATGTCTTTGAGACCTGGACAACTTATCGATGAAAGTCCTTGAAAAATCTCTGTTTCTTTTATTGAGTTTGGGGCATTTTTTCATCACGATATGCTAATTTTTTGGCGAATCAGTGGAGGTACCTAATTTCATTTTATGGAATCCCGAGAAATTAATCTTTATATAAGTACCTCGGAGAATTTAAATCGCCACATCCTTTTGGTTAAACAGGAACCCCAGTTACAGAAAATCTGCTTTGAATCATAAAATAAAAATGTAATAAAACTAAGGCATTATTTAATTAGAAAATCTTTTAATTGCGTTTAAAAATAAAATATCTTATGGATATTATTGTTTTATGAAACATCTTTCGATGAATAATGGATTTTACAAGAATCGTTATCAATTTTTTTAAAAATCTTACTCATAATAATTTAAATTTTAAATCTTTTAAAATTCTGTAATAACGTCTAGCGGTCCAGTGATATTGTTATTAAAGTACATTTACTAATCCTAAGTGAAAAATCTGATTACAATTCAACGAAGGCTAGTATTTTAAAAAGAATTTTTAATTTATTTTTACCAGGAATTTCTCCAGCGTTGTCTTTGAAGTATCTTGAACATCAATGTTAAAAGAGAAAATCAAATAATTTATAATTAATTTAATAATAATTATTCTTATTAGAAATATCCTTGAAAATTTTACTGTTTTTTATTTGAATTTTCCGAGGAATCGTAATTCTTAAGTTAATGATTGAATAAGGTGCTTGAGAGTTTCACACTATAAAATATCTGTGGAATTTTCCATATTGCCTCGCTAAATATTTGCATTTAGTAACTTTGAAAAAAATATTACAATAACAATAAATATGCATGCATGCCGTTATTTAAAGAAGTAAGAGGTTACAAACGAAAAGATTTGAAATTGTCAAGTTCTTTTTTTATTTCACTGAAGCAGACGTTAAACATATGAGAGCTTCATCGCCTCTTCTATACGTTCTTTCTTTTTGTCTTTCGTTCTTTTACTGAAACTAAACAGCGTCTCTGATATGTCTCTTCCGTCTTATCGGACAAACAAAATTATTTATTTTTGAGGTATTGGCAGCGTGTAACATACGTGCAAAGTAATGAACAAGCATAATAATAATAATAATAATAATAATAATAATAGGTATTTCTAACTAAATTCTCCAAGCCTTCTTTCCTCGTTGTGTGTCCTAGAAATTTCAACTGTGTCTTTCTGGTTCGAAATATAAGCATATTTTTTTGTTTCTGTTTCCTTTAATACTTCCTCATTACTGAAATGACCCGTCCATGGTATTCTTAATATCTGTCATTTACCGTCGTCTGTTAACAATTCCCTGATATTTAAATTTTCTTACTTGCTTGATTTTGTCACCCGCATTCGACTCTTACAATAGCTTTTAATAACCTAGCTATCGAAAGAGTAATATAAAATTTTGTGTGGCTAAATACCAATTGTAACAGTTATATTTCAAGTGCTTTTAAATTTCCTACTAGATTTTTAGCCTGATAATATAAGCTGTGACTGTATTATTAATATCCTTTTGCTTAGTGTCGCAAGCACTACGCCCAGCGAAGTATGTTAAGAAATTAATAGACGGATTTCCCCGCTATGAATTACGCATCAACCAACGAAGGCAGAAAGAAGGTTGAGTCTTAGGAAACTGTGTCTGGAATTGGTTTACCATCTCTTCTATAAAGTTGTTCAGAAAATAATGACGTATTTCCTCGTAATGAATTATGCGCCAACCAAAGAAGGTTGAATGTTACGAAACTGCGTCTGAAATTGCACACTGATCCCCAGTCTTTATAACAGGAGTACAGGTTTATCACTTGTTTCCAGATTGGGATTGGACTTCCGGTTCATTGCAAATTCTACTTCAACGCTTTACTTCTAACATCTCCGCCTAAACGCTGAAATTTATACTATTATTGTATTTCTGGTTCTAAAGTCTTTTGCTTCTCTTTCACTTGCGTCTTAGTGGCGTTATCGCCATGCTTGTGTTGAATTGATTAAACAAAAGAAAAATAATTTATTATCTCTTTTATTGGGGTGTTCGGAAACTAATGACGTATTTAATCGCTATGAATTAAGAATCAACCAAACAAGGCAGAACCAAACTTGTCTGGCTGGAACCGCGTTTTAATTTAGTTCATCACCGTGATGAGAGTGTAGCCTAAAAGCTTCTTCATATACATTATGCATCCATTTAAATGTTATCGCAAGCAAATGGGTAATCATTATTTATTTTTTAAAAACGAACGAACGAAAGAAAGAAAGAAAGAAAGAAAGAAAGAAAGAAAGAAAGAAAAGTTTCAAATGGACGGAAAACTTAAGAAACGTAAAATAAAGAGAAAAAGAAAGAAAGAAAATTAACGAATGACGATAAATAGATAGATAAACATATAGAAAGAAACAGAAAGAAAGATTAGTTTCATGTAAAGCATAAAAGGAAGAAAAGAAAAGAAATAGGAAAGAAAAAGAAATATAATTAAGGAATAAAAATATTTAGATAGATATGAACGGAGTGAGATAGATAGATAGATAGATATGAACCGACAGAGATAGATAGATAGATAGATAGATAGATAGATAGATAGATAGATAGATAGATAGATAGATAGATGAACTACGAGAGACGAGAAAGAACGAAAGAAAAATTTAAATTTTAGTGATATGAAAAAGTTAAGAAAGAATAAAATGAAGAGTAAATGAATGAAAGAAAATTAAGGAAGGACTGTAGAAAATACATGGACAGAAAAAGCAGAAGTAAATAAAGAACAAACGAAGGGTGAGTTTTATAGGAATGAAAAACGTAAGGAAGAAAGTAAGAAGAAAAGAACAGGAAACAAGATGAAAATAAATTAATAGTTGAATAGAAAGAAAGAAAGAAAGGGAGAAGGAAAGAAAAGAAGGAAGAAAAAAAGGAAGAAGAAAACAGCTGGAAACAGCGTGAAGATAAATTAATAGGTGAATAGAAAGAAAGAATGAAAGAAATAAAGAAAGAAAAGGAGAAGGATAGAGCAGGAAACAGCATGAAAGAAGATTAATAGGGGAATATAAAGAAAGAAAGAAAGAAAGAAAGAAAGAAAGAAAGAAAGAAAGAAAGGGAGAAGGAGAGAGCAGGAAACAGCATGAAAGAAGATTAATAGGCAAATATAAAGAAAGAAAGAAAGAAAGGGAGAAGGAGAGAGCAGGAAACAGCATGAAAGAAGATTAATAGGCAAATATAAAGAAAGAAAGAAAGAAAGAAAGAAAGAAAGAAAGAAAGAAAAGGAGAAGGATAGAGCAGGAAACAGCATGAAAGAAGATTAATAGGGGAATATAAAGAAAGAAAGAAAGAAAGAAAGAAAGAAAGGGAGAAGGATAGAGCAGGAAACAGCATGAAAGAACATTAATAGGCGAATATAAAGAAAGAAAGAAAGAAAGAAAGAAAGAAAAGAAAGAAAAAAGAAAGAAAAAGAATGATAGAGCAGGAAACAGCATGAAAGAAGATTAATAGGGGAATATAAAGAAAGAAAGAAAGAAAGAAAGAAAGAAAGAAAGAAAGAAAGAAAGGAGAAAGAAAGGAGAAAGAAAAGAGCTGGAAACAGCATGAAAGAAGATTAATAGGTGAATATAAAGAAAGAAAGAAAGAAAGAAAGAAAGAAAGAAAGAAAGAAAGAAAGAAACGAAGGAAGAAAAAGGGAAGAAGAAAACAGCTGGAAACAGCGTGAAGATAAATTAATAGGTGAATAGAAAGAAAGAAAGAAAGAAAGAAAGAAAGAAAGGGAGAAGGAAAGAGCAAGATACAGCATGAAGATAAATTAAAAGGTGAATAAAAAGAAAGAAAGAAAACTGTTACGTTTCAGATGAATGAAAAATGTAAGAAAGAAAATATGAAGGAAAGAAACAGATTAAGTGAAAAGAAAGAAAATAGATAAGTATATAGATACAAACTGAAATAGAGAAATATGCTTCACAAGAATAAATATTTTCTTTTCTTTATTTTGTTCCATCTTTAGAAGAAAAAAATGATAAAAATATCCTTCCAAACCATCACCACCAGCAAGAACCAAAGGAAACCACCCAACTCGCACAGGGTCCCTAACAATTGAATTGTCGTCATTTCCCTCCTAAAGCATTTCAGTCATTCACGTAAAAAAAAAAAAAAAAAAAAAACGGGTGGGAGGGGAAACCCTCTCTTCCCGCCATTTTCATACCAGTCAAGGCGTATTCAGTCCCGGCGTCGACAGGCGAGGGTGGCATTGTTGTTACCTGCCCTAAGTCACCTTCGTGATTTTTCCTCACCGGTCATGTTCGCTAGGTTCCGCCTGTAACTGACTGTCTGTCAGTTCGCGTTGGAAAAGGGTTAGTTGATTAGTGTCACATGTCGCCTGGTTGAATTAAAGATTATTTGTCCAGACGAGCATCTAACCCCGGTGATATCTCTCCGTGACTGATTTGATTACAGTTTATAATTTGGGTATGAGGTGCTACGAGACGGAAGCTGAGGACAGACGAAGTCTATTAATCTATAAAAGTATATCTATTTTTTTAATTCTTTTCCTCTCTCTCTCTCTCTCTTACTCTCATTCTATCTTTCTCTCATTCTCCACCCCACATATATATATATATATATATATATATATATATATATATATATATATATATATAGATAGATAGATAATGTTGTATATTCGCAGCAATCCTTCATTGATACATGTTTGGTTGAACAAGAATGACAAATTACTTTTGTGTAATTGCTGGATTAAATGAATGCAAAAATTGTCCGAAGTGGACTTTCGGCTAAACAGATAGCCATTTTCAAGGATTATTCTTGTTATTGTTATACAACTAGAATATGTGGGGTGGAAGTACTATTGTAGATTATATAAAACTTGCTGAAAATAGATATCTGTCTATATATTGTGAGATGAGTTACTATGTGCACTATTTACATTCTTCGGACTATTGTCATCATCAGTTATCTCCTGTTAATTCCCCTCTCCAAGTTTTCCACTGCCTTAAACAAGTATTGAACTCACAACTCTTTGGGTCCTGTCACTGGATCGAAGTTTGATTTAACCAACGCCTTTATCCACTATGCCATGTTTCCTTAATGACACATGGCACAGTGGATAACTGACATCCATTAACTGATAACTAACATCTATTAGACATGACACGTAGAACTAGAACAGTCTACCCCAGCGAGCGAAATAAAGGGTTCAGTTCGACATTCAAACCACCTGAAGAAGGCCGGAGCGTACAACGACCGAAACGTTGTGATAAATATGGCAACAAAGATGATGACAGTAGTGTGAATAATGTCAATAGTGAAAACAGACATATTCTTAATTTCCGAATAAGGTTATAACATTATGGCCGTGTTCATATCGTTATTAAGGCTTGGTTTCTTGTTTTCTATAATAAGGGATACCATCACTTTTAAACTCTTTTTGAAGTGGGCGATATGTATTATATTAGTATTCTCGATGAGTATGTTGCGTGTCGAGGTCGGTATAATTCCATGCTGAATTAAAATACGTCCGCATTAAGGTCCGGTCAAAGGGATTTAGTGTCAGTCAGATTGGCGAGTGATGGCGTGTCCAACTTAATTATTAATGGGTTTCATTCTTTGGGGAACGCATATATATATATATATATATATATATATATATATATATATATATATATATATATATATATATATATATATAGATAGATAGATAGATAGATAGATAATATTAGTGGTAAATATACACATACATATACAAAAATATAAATATATATACATAGATGCATACACATACATATATTTTTTTTGAATATAAAATTCCAAGAGGATAGAATCCAGGTAGAACTCAATGTCCAGGACAGAGTAAGGATATAATAAAAAGGCTTAAACACTAATAATCCATGGTCATAATTTATTCCATTTAGATCGTAAATACGATCCAATTCATCAGACCTACAAATTCAAAAAGAAAACAGAAAAAACAACGCATTTACGATTCCAATGGAATAAATTATGACCATGGAATATGAGTGTTTAAACCTTTTTATTATATATATATATATAGTTTTAACATATGCTATATTTATGGGTTATATCAGGGATAGAGCTTATGTAAGTATAAAAAAGTGTGAATTGAAGTCTCTGGGTGTTGACTTCTTAATAAATAGCTGACCACTCATATTCAAGGATACCCGATACTTCAGACTCTTGCTGAGACACATTCAACACCCACAGAGCCAACCAGTGGTTTATACTGCAACTATGCTGAATAGACCTGAATCACAGTTTCTGGGAGAGAACGCATTATCTAAAATGATCAACAGTCTGAACAACACCAGCAAACTCAGAACCGCGGTCACAATGACTTGTGACTTCGTGCTAGTGTTCCGTCTACCCAAGTTCACTCACAAAGTTTGGATCAACTAGCGCCGCTCGCTCACATATTCCGTACTGTGTTCTCTGTAACCGTAGGACTGTGCCCCCGGGAGCCACGACTACTCTCACCAAGCCGCGCCGACTGGAGCATTAGAAGTTGAGTCTGATTAGGAATCTCTTCGTTACCGAGGCCCATTTGGTACAGCTGGTATGTTGTTCGCTTGACAACCCAACTGTCAGGGTTTCGATACTTAGCGGTGGATGCGCGCTGCTGATGAGTCCCAATTATAGGACGAAACGGCCGTCCAGTGCTTCCTCTATTTCCTGTTGAGGTTTCTATCAGACTCAATGAATCAATTAAATATAATTATCAAATCCTCCTACTTATTATATATATATATATACTTTAAAAATCAGAAGGTCAGTTAAAGCCACTACCTTGGTTTCAACCTTACGGTATCCTCAGGCATTTTTTATCATAAATATTTTTTATAAAAATCGCTAGAGGATACCGTAAGGTTGAAACCAAGGTAGTGGCTTTAACTGACCTCCTGATTTTAAAAGTAAGTTAAACGCTCCTTCATGCTATTCTTACTTTTTATTTTACTTTCTTCACACGTGTATTGAGCACATTTTAATACTGCTGTTTCCTGGATTGACTCAACTCTGACCATTATCCTTATATATATATATATATATATATATATATATATATATATATATATAGATAATATTAGTGGAAAATATACATACATATGCAAAATATATAAATACCCATACATGTATATTTTCAGAAAAAAATTCAAGAGGAAGAATCCAGGTAGAACTCAATGTCTAGGACAGAGTAAGGATATAATAAAAAGACTTAAACACTAATATTCCATGGTCATAATTTATTCCATTGGAATCGTAAATACGATCCAATTCATCAGACCTACAAATTCAAAAAGAAAATAGAAAAAACCCAACTCCGGAAATAAAAACAGAATTTAGAGAGAGTGTAAGTATGAGGAGGAGGGAGATTAAACCTTATATATATATATATATAAAGAGAGAGAGAGAGAGAGAGAGAGAGAGAGAGAGAGAGAAAGAAATATGAATAGACTGTGACAGATAAATAGGTAGACGTGTGTGTGTGTGTGAGAGAGTCTCTGTGTGCGATGTGTGTGCGCGCGCGTGTGTAAATAGGATATCGAATCCAAAGATTTATAATTTTTGACAAAAGGAAAACTGTTTTAATAAGCCTTTAGTTTTCTATTACTCAAATTTATTAAATTTGTCTGGATTTAATATCTTATTTATACACATGTTGTCGAGGCGGAAAACACAAACACATACCTAACATCTAAGAATCTTTTACTTTCAACCTCTTCTGAAAAAAATGGATAAGGATTTGCCTTAATCTCAATACAGAGAAGCTGGGGGTAAATTATAATAAATTTCGAGAAAACAATAAAATTGAAAAAAAAAGAAACAAAATTTTCATTTTTCAAATATATATATATATATATATATATATATATGTATAGAGAGAGAGAGAGAGAGGGAGAGATAGATAGATATTTTATATTTACACGCTCTATCTCTGATATTGAGCACTTTATCCCATAAATATAGCACACCTTAAGAATATATTTCTTCATATATATATATATATATATATATATATATATATATATATATATAAGCAGAGAGAGAGGATTAAATAAGTAAGAAAACCCCTTATAAATTTAACATGTTTCGCTATTTATTTTAGCTTCATCAAAATTTCTGCTGAGAGACCCTATGCCAGCAAAAAGGAATCTGCACCATGACATACAAGCAGGAAAACACAGTCATGTCTGCGACCACATCAGTCCTTGCATTTGGGCATTTAACTTCCAAGACTACAGCACCCTTGATTATTATGCGTGGGACACAGTTGAGCGAGAGGCCAACAAAACTCCTTGTAACACCAAAGATGAACTGAAGGCAAGGATTATGGCAGAATTCACCAACTTAAACAAAGAGACCGTACAGAAGAGTTTCGGGAGATTCCGAAGTATTCTGTGAGGTCGTGGTTGAAGACAACAGCAATTTTATTGAATACATTTACTCTTTAATATTTGAAAATATTTTTGTTTAATTTTGGTAAGTATATCTATTAAAATGAAATGTCAGTGCTATTTTAATTTTTGTGTAATTTAGACGGCAATTAATCTATCGCACTCTGTATATAGTATTCATAGTACATATAACGAATACTGAAAGAGAATATGTAATATTGGATTACCTAATCTGCAATTTTAATTCTTATATTCGTAAAGTATTTGCACGTATTGTTGAGAGGAAAACGTGAACGCGATTTTGTTTTTAAATGTTTGGATTATTTATTAATATTCCTTCTACTTATTTTCTCCGTAAAGTATTGTGATGATTTGTCATTAAGGTAGTATTTTTGAAAATCAAGTTTTGGCTTCATATATATATATATATATATATATATATATATATATATATATATATATATATATATATATATATATATATATATATATATATATATATATATGCGGTGTTTTAGATTTCGTTTCGTCTATATATATTTTATAAAAAAAACAAGTAGGTTCTATTTTTCTTTATAGCCAGATAAAGATCTTGGAGCTAATGGTTATAATTTTAGTGTCTAGGATAAATGTTTTTCGTGGTACCTGGATAAGTTGTTAGTCGGTAGACTTATACATTTTTTGCGTTGACAGTACTTATGCTTTTTTTTTTCTTAAGCTGAGAATGAAAAAATGGAAAGAGAAGATTAAAAGATTTCTGTAATATAATTTTCTTTTTATTTCGACATTACAGGGTTTAGATAGAAACCTATAATTTTCCTGATTTTATTTTGTTATGAATGGAATGAAAATTGATTAGATCACTTTTATTGGCTGGTTCATGGTAAAGTTTGGATTCTAATCTTTTAATCTTTTGGATTAAAAGAATGACTAAAATAAATAATATCCTACCTCTATAGTTTCGACGTGTGTAAATTCGATAGTGTCTTCCATATGATTTTTTATTTATTATATTTATCTGGTATGTTTTTGTTTTGACGATATATTAATAAAATGTCATCTATGTATTTGAGGTAAGTTTTTAAATTTTAGGTAAGATGTTTAAATTGTCCGGATTCTAATAGTCCCAAGAATAGATATGCAAATAAACCAGATTAAGCTTGAAGGATGGGGTAGTCAAGACGGCTTGGAAATAACATCTGGATACTTGGGAAATAATTCCAATTGAAGAGCGTCTGAGTGGACTGGCTTAACTGGCCATTTTTATTTAATCAATTCACCGGAAGTGATAATGCCACTGAGGCGGAAGGGAGTGAAAGAGAATGAAAAGACTTTAGAAGGAACTGGAAACCCAATTCTAAACAGGAAACAAAGGATAAATCTCTACTGTTCGGGGAGAAGTGTAAACTGGACGATAGGCTAACCTATTAATTCCTATTGAGAATAAGTAAATAAATTGTAAATAAAATTTCAGAGTTTAGGTAGATATTTTAGAAGTATAGAGATGAAGTAGACTTTAGAAGGAACCGAAAAGCCGATACTAAACAGGTAACAAGAGATAAACCTTGTAAAGGGCCCGGATGTTGTGTATGTGTAATGTTAGTTACCACGTTATTATAAATATTTCTAATAGTAGTTGACAGAAAAATCATTTTTAATTTTTTTTATACTGAAAATGAAATGCATAAAAACATACAACGATAACAACAACTTGAGACACGTGTTGACATTAATAACAAGAATGTGTATTTGTCTTTTTCGTGATACGAATTACATATATTAGTATGGTATGTGATGAAAATGCCCTCAGTGTTAGTATCTTTTTTGTTTCTTTAAAAGTTTGTGCTTACCCGTTTTTGCTTGTTTTGTGTCGTTGTTAAGGATAGCGTTTGAGATCGTCAACTTTCGATTTTCCGGAGCAATGGTGATACGATGTGCTGTGTTCCTTTTTACTACTGCTACTTGCTACTGTACTCTACTCTACTGACACTATTATCGTTGCTTGTGATGGAAGGGGTCATTTTTTATAATGATGAAGGTTCAGATTTTGGAATGATGAAAAATCTTTTTTCTCTTTCATCACTGATGGCAAGATTGTTTTAAGATGCTGACATTTTTTTATCTTTATTTTATAGATGATGAAATAACCATATTTTCTATTATCACTGATGGCCAGGCTATTTTTGGAATGATGAAATACCATCATTCTGGGTCATAACAACCTCTACTCCTATTCAAAAGACGGGAGGCGTGGGAAATAGACGATAGGCGAACCCATCTACTCCTACTGAGAATAAATAAATAGTAAATAAAATCACCTGGTTTTTTTCAACAGGAGTAGAGGTTTATCCTTTGTTTCCTGCTTTGGATTTTATTTCCGGTTGATTCTAAAGTCTTTTTCATTCTCTTTCATTTCCAGTAGCCCCCTTGCGTCTTAGTGGCATTATCACCTTCCCAGGGGTGAATTGAATATAGATATGTGTGCTTGTGTGTCTGTATGAGTGTGTGATCAGTAAAATCATGAGTGCATTGTCATACCAAATATAATGGTATAGCAGTAAGTAATGGTAATAACAAAAATGATTGATATATTTTTTACAGTTTATCAACACTTTGTAGGTTGTTTATGTTTTGGGGAGTGTATATTTTTATTAATAATTTATAACAATGATTTTTTCCAGATACAAGTCCTACTATTTAATCCATAGCTTGAAGGAGGAGGTGGATTAATACCTTTCCCAAGGGTATTTGCGCGTAAGTGAATTTAACGAACCCGACTGGAATTCGAACTCGAATCTCATATTTCACATTCCGAGCCGCTATCTCATGCATTACCCGCACATCAACTCATGGAAATGCCCAGAAAGGGCGGCTTTTGTCACCTGGTACGATTGTGGGTAACAGAAGATGTGCCAGAAAGATTATAAAAATTTAGAGAGATTTTGATATCCCTGCGTATATTGTGTCATATGTAATACCTGATGGAAGACATTACGCCCTATCGTCGACAATGCAACGGCCAAACATGTGTATTTAATGATCGACACTGGCTTGAATAACATCCACATTCAGTGAAGAAGATACCAGGTATGTATCCAGGGTTCTTTAGTTTCTATGGAATATGTGAACAGAAGACGTAAAGCACCGAACTCACAGGGGTCTGGGATGTGTCTAAGTAGAAGGCTGTCAATGTTTGGCGCGATCCGATAGGTTATAATTCAAGTTGTTTCATGCTGATGAAACTAAAGTCTTAGTTGTCATAGAGTCATCGTTTAGGTTGATGGCGGTTTCATAATGGTATTAATAGAAGGAGCAAGATTAATGTGTTAACATGGAATTGGTTGGGTTCACTTGTTTGCCTGAATATGTCATTGACATGACGTCTACGTTATACTGCTTTGGAACCATTTGCACCCATTCATAAGCTCCATATACCTCAACAACAATGGGTTATCCCAAGCAGCGAACAGTTGGGCCCTATCAGGCATTTATAGGACGTAGCTGAGAGTTTTATTTGCAAACAAGATCATAACCTTTAAATATCGGGTTGTTGTTGACAGGTATCGAGATGATATCGTTCAAATTTCCCAGAGGTCTTCTGACCATTTGTGCAATTGATGCGCCTCTGCTGAAAGCATTTCGTTGGGCTAGAAGTCCTACACGCAGTGGTGGCATACTATCGGTTCGCGCGAACAGATTCTTAAAATTATAAAAGCTTTGTAAATCAGTAGTTGGATTACTGGAATATGGAAAACGTTGCACTTCCATGGGAATAAGCTGAAGAGGAATTAACGCATTTTTGTGAAGAATTTCGCCATGAGATCTTCGTTAATGATTTCTATGATTACGTTGAAAACGTAACGAGAAATTACTATAAACATGTCATGTCCAAAACTATCCAAAGAGCTAAAAATATAATTAATACTGTTGCTGTAAGTTCTGTGGAGACTGAAAGATGTTTTTCTGGGATAAACATAATTTATTCGGACAAAAGAAATTGTTTTGAAGTTAAAAATGTGGCTAATCTTCTCGTCATAAATTTGATAGATTTCCATTGGATCTTTGGGGCTGCACCGATCCAGTTCAAATGTGGCTAAGAAACCATAACACAGATGATGACACTAGAGTCAAAAAACATCATACTTCTGAAAAGAAATATGATGAGAAGAGAAATTAATTCTGGAAATATCTTAATAAATAAATGTTTTCTATTAAACTATCAAAATGGTTTAATTTTTTTTGATTTTATAAAGTGATTTGTTTACACTCTCAGATTTAAAAAAATATAAGCAGAATATGTTACCTGACTTTATAGAACCGGGTCCTGGAAATCTATTATTGCCTACACATATCCCATAACTTTTGACATGTTAGCGTACAAAGTATATATATATATATATATATATATATATATATATATATATATAGATAGATAGATAGATAGAGAGAGAGAGAGAGAGAGAGAGAGAGAGAAGGGAGAAACTCAGCCACGCATTCACCACTTATAGTTGGCGTCATATGACCGGAGTAAGAGACAAAAAAAGATATGGATGAGGCAGAGGCAATAAAAAACTTTGTCCGCTGCGGCAACAAAAAGCTGGTGATTCTTCCACTGATTTGAAATTTAACTATTCTAAACCCGTACCTGCTAACTTCAAACGAAATATGTCCATTTATTTGAAGAGTAATTGAATCTTCCTGGGCTGTCAAAGTCTTCCGTGGCTGAGCAGACTAAGGAACAACTAGATAACGGTATTTTCATCAAAAAGAGAGATGCAAGTTCGAGCACCGTTGGAAGGCACACACAGACGCACATACACACATAGGATTAGAATATGCGTACCCCAAACGAAAATCGTCATTAGATCTGACGTACCTTAGACCACTCTGCCAGGCAGGTTCGAATCTTACGGGAGGGCGCATATTTTTCTAAGAAGATTTCTCGAATATTCAGGCCGGTAGATGTAAATAAATCAATATACTGCTTAACAGATAAATAAAAACAGACCATCTACTTAAATAGGAGTATTCATTTTAAAAAAATAATAATGTTTAAACAAATAAATAAAAAATATGTCGGATTCAACCCATCTCCTATATATATATATATATATATATATATATATATGGAGAGAGAGAGAAAAAGAGAGAGAGAGACTGTGCATGTGGATATGTGCGTGCGTGTTCTGAAGTCAGAGCATTTCGATGTGGCGCAGTTGTTGGCAAGCTTGTATCGCAAGATCAATTACAACAGATTGGGGAGTTCGATCCTCACTGGGTGCTCCATACTTTCGGCCTTGTGCCAGATCTAAACAAGGCTTAGTAAATAGACAGTGTTTTGAAGTCGTCTACTTTTCAGAATGAACGCGACGGACTGAAAAACCTTTCTCTTCCGAAAAGAAAACGTTATGAACAAATCAACGACAATTGCCCGTTTCCAGTACACTAGGAATTGGTCATGTGTAGTATTAAGAAAGCAAATACAGACAGATAACAAAGCACAATAATAATAATAATAATAATAATAATAATAATAATAATAATAACAAATTTGAAACTGCTACCTAAGATAGAGAAAGAAGACATGACACCGTATGGAAGAGCCTGTTGCACAATTAATGTTACGTGTTGTTCGTTGATTCGTGATTTGTGCACAGACAAACTAATCATGGCGAGCGGCGTCTCTTTTTACAGACAGTGAATAGTCACTTCCGGTGGACTGGAGACAAAATGGCGTCTTGCGTTTTTATAACGTTTTTAAGGGCTCTATTTTTATAGTTGATTTATTTTATTTTTACAATGAACTGATATCTTTACATTTTATTTTTCTTTCTTTATATTTTTTCTTTCTTTATATTTTTTCTTTCTTTTCTGTCTTACCTAAGTTTTTGCCTACTCCTCCGCGTTTTTTTTTTCAGCATCTTCCACTGTTTTTTACATCCGTCCTTCCCTCCTTCTTTTCTGTATCCTTTCAAGCAGCTAACAACACCTTTCTTTTTAAGGCTTCTTTTTCTTTCTCTTATAAGGTCTTTTTTCTTTTTCTTTTCTTTCTCTTTTAATGTTTCTTTTTCTTTTTTATGTTCTTTCTCTCCTATAAGGCTCCATTTTCTTTTCTTTCTCATTTTAGGCTGCTTTTTCTTTTCATGCTCTTCTAAGGCTTCTTTTACTTTTCTTTCACTTTTAATGTTTCTTTTTCTTTTCTTTCTCCTATGAGGCTACTTTTTATTTTCTTTCTTTTCTAAGGATTCTTTTTCTTTTCTTTTTCTGATAAGGCTTTATTTTCTTTGTCTTTTCTTTCACTTATAAGCCATTTTTTTACTTTTTCTTTTCTTTCTCTTTTAAGGTTTCATTCTATTTTATTTTCTCTTTTAAAGTTTCTTTTTTGTTTATAAGGCTTCTTTTTATTCTATTTTCTTTCTTTTTCTTCACTCATCAGTTTCTAGACTTTTATTTTTCCTTCATTTCATTTTCTTTTTCGTTATGTTGGCACTTTTTCTTCATTTTCTGTTTATTCTTTATCTTAGTTCACCTCTGTTTTAATTTTTAGTTTGTCTAATTCTTTTTTTCTTCTTTCTCCTCTTTTCTCACGAGTCTTTTCTTCACTTAGTTTTCTTTCATTTTTCCATTATTCTTTTTTCTCATTGTCCATTGACTTCTTTTTGTTCTTGGTTCTATTTTTTCATTCCCTATTGCTTTTCCTTCATTTTTTTTCTCTCTTAGTTTTTCTCCTTGTTAGTTTTTGGTTCTCTGTTTTTACTGATTATTTTTCTGTCGATATTGTTTCGTTTTTACTTTCTTTTCTATGTTCATTTTTGATTTTCGTTCACTTTCTTTATTTTATCTTTCTTCCTTTTTATTTAACCCCATTTTCTTCTACTTTTTCTATCTTTTTTCCTTCCTTTTGCCTCGTTTTCTTTTTTGTTTTCCACTTTTCTTTTTTTTTCTTTTTACTTCTGTCTCTTCGTTTTCTTTTTTTATCTTAAGGTTTTCCTTTATGTTCTTCATTTTCCTCTTCATTCTTTCTTATTTTCGCTATTATCATAAAAAATTTACTTTTTTCTTCTTCCTCTCTCTCCTATTTCTTCTTGTTTTGCGATTAACAATTCACAGCCCAGTTACTGTGCACTCTCTTTGGCCGCGAAGGCCTGACACCGTCTGCAAAGTTTGAATGAAGGTGAATCCTACCTTTTAACTCGCTCGTCGCCTTCCTGTCTGCCTGAGCTCATTCTGTGTGTTCTAGCATGGACTTGCCCCCTAATTTTTATTTCGTGCCCTGAGGGTAGACAGTGGGCATCACCCATGCCAGTAACAAGTCGTAGTCAGTTGTCCCAGTCAACAGAATGCATTTCATTGACGTGCAATTCACTGCAATCAAGGGAAAACTTACGTCTTCGCAAAAGCAACACACCGGAAAGAATGAACTTCGACCGCCATTTGCGTTCAGTAACCTTATCCGTGTGCTAACCAGTGATATTGGCCTATGTTAAAAGCTTATAATTAAGTCCGGTTGTGTGATGAAATTGGAGTTTAATGTTGGTCGATGTTCGACAGACAAAATATTGCAAAATAGAATGAAAATAAAAGAAATAAGAGCAGCTACTACAGAGTGTGACAGAAATACCTTTCACATATACCTCCCAGAAATACCTCCCACGTAATGGTAAGATATTATCACGATAAAGAATCCACTGCCACAATTGTCTTACCATTACGTTTAAAATATTTATGGGAGGTATATGTGGGATATATTTCTGCCGCGCCCTCTAGATCGCCTTTAGAAGCATTATCTCAATTTTCGGGGATACAAAAGCTTTTTTTATCTTTATTTTTTAATCGTATTCAACCCAATCAAGGCCGTAAAGCCACTAAGACACAATCGGTTCCCGAGTGCGAAAGAATTAGGAAACATAAACATTACTAAGCAGTGAGAATAAGAGAAGAGTAATCAGGAAGACAAAAGATAACGACTGACATTGCATTTAAATAGAAGCAAACAATGAAGTGCGAGAGAGGAAACTGTTAGCATAGAACTTACGGTCCCATCTAACCAATTCAACTGTAAATTGATGAAACCTATCCGCCAATCTAGTAGTGCGCTTAAATTCATAAAGTCTAGGTACCATAGCGTGGAGTGATATTTATTTTGTAATGATATAAAAAAAATGTGGCACATGGTCAATAGGGCAATGGAGAAAAAAATGGTCTTCTTCTGTCTTAAAATGTCATAATCACTGACCCAAAACATAGCACAATATTCCTTACACCAAAACCATTCTTACCATAGCGAGGAGCTCATCCGAACAATTACCAGGAAAGTATTTATAGAAAAAGCACAGGGTGGCAACTTTACGGCGGTAGGAATGTGATTGAAACCAGCATGTCACGTCAGGATTAATAATATGGCTCTGGCTTGCTTAGATGTCAAATCATTATACGCAAATATACCCCTCACAAAATGTTTCAAACCAAAGTACAGATAACTCTTTAAGAAGCCAGGGATAGATTTTGTCATATCTAAATAAGAGGGTCCGTGATAATAACGACAACACAATTTAGTTTGGTTACTTCTCTGCCGGCAGAATGATACTCATGATTTTTATTCACACACTTTGAATATTACTGCCACATCTGGCCTGGTGTTTCTATTATATATTTAGACATTCTTGATAAAATCCAAAGAAGATACCGCCAAGTTATTAATCCTGACCTGGCATCTCGGCTTCAGTCACTTTCCCACCGCCATAATGTAGCTTCCCTGTAACTTTTCTATAAATAACTTTCATGGTGATTGTTCTGATGAACTTTCCTCTATGGTTCCCTAGATTTTATGAATTTAAGCGCAGTACTAAATTGGCAGACAGGTCTCATTATTTTACAGTTGAAATGGCTAGATGTAAACGTAAGTTCTATACTAACAGTTTTTTTTCACTCTGAATTCTCGCTTATGGAACTCCCTTCCGGATTCTTGCTTTAACTTTGATTTTCAAAAATTTAAATGTAATGTCAATTTTTTTTCTTCTTTCTTCTTAATTCTTGTTCTTTCATCGTCCTCTATGTCCTTAATGGTAGTTTTTTTCTTATATTCTCTAAAATTAGTAATCCCTTGGGTCCTAGTGGCTTTATTGTCTTGCTTGGGGTGAAATGATTAAAAAAAAATGCAAAAAAAAAAAAAAAAAATAACAATATGGCCGACACGCTACTTCCGTGTCTGAATAATGGCTAAATTGGTGTTTCCGTTTCCTTAATTCCCAAATACAACTGTATAGAATAGCACTATGTTTATATTAGGTAAAATGTCATGTATCTAAAGTCATAAAAATTAATATGTTTTGGATTCTGAAAAATACTGAATTTGCGAAAGGTCTAAAGAACATTAATTTAGAAAAATACTTAAAAGATATTCTTCCCTATTGTTTCGTGAGCGAAACAGTCATTTTATGTAATGCCTTTATGTCCTTATATAGTTTGTTTATCCCGGAAAATGATTAAAATGAATATATAATATAATATAAATGAGTATTAATAAAGTCAGTGGACAGCCATAGGAAACATAGAGCCCTTGTCTATATATTCTAGGATCAAATGCAGTTAGTGTTAAAAAAGCACAATTTGTTGCTTCGATACCAAATAACATAAGAAACAGCCTGTCGCCCCTGGGTGTTGATTTCAATGTTCACTTTTATATTTACATACGCTCTATCTCTGATATTGAGCACTTCATCCCATAAATATAGCACATCCTTATATTTCTTCATATATATATATATATATTAAGAAATGGACAATTTATTTTTTAAAGACATTTTTATGTTTAACGTTCTTTTTATAGATACAAGTATCTAAGTAAATGCTCTGTTTATAATAAACAGTATTAAATAACATTTACCGGCCTGAATGTACGAGAAATTTTCATAGAAAATATTCGTCCTTTGACAGGATTCGAACCTGCATCCTATACTGAACCGTCATTTACGCTGACGTGCCTTGACCGCTCGGCCACAAAGGAACATTCAGTTGGCAAGGTTGAATTTACAACCGAACGATCCTTTGTGGCGTAAATGAAATTTTTTAATAATATATATATATATATATATATATATATATATATATATATATATATATACTTTTATATATTATATATATATATATATATATTTATATATAAAATTATTTATATATATATAATATATATATATATATATATATATATATTGTGTGCGTGTGTGTATTGTGTATCTGGGCAGCAATCCCTCTTCTATACAAGTTTCGTTAAAGACAACTGAAAATTAACTTTTTTATTCCATTTTTCTTGTGTTCCTTTTCTTTTATTGACATAAAGTGTGTAAATGTTCAAACGCATATCCGAGCGCTTTCGGCTATTCTTTTAGTTATTATCAAGGACGATATTTATGCTTTTTTTTTAACAGAATGTTTTGGATTTTTATGTATTTTTTACAAATAATGGAAGCATTAATAATATAACAGAAAAAGCCAACACTCAATAACATTAACTATGAACAGCTAGAATGTGCAGACCGTGTTTGGGAAATTAAACATTCCTATAATTCCAGATTCCAGAAAAATAAACAAAAAGAAAAATACTTGTACGAACAGAAGAAAATTCAATAAAAAATTAAAAGCTTAATCGGAATGCCTTAACGAAATATATATATATATATATATATATATATATATATATATATATATATATATATATATATATATATATATATATATATATATATTACGATAAACGTGCAATCAATTTACAAATACATGAATTATTCACAAAACTAATGCAAAGGTTAATGCTTTAAATGGCGAGACATCCATCATCGCAAACAATTCAAATAGTATACAAAAACCTCCAGATCCGTTATGAATGAATTGATCCTTGTTTATATAAATTTCTGCCGTATTAGTTGTTATTTTTACTACAAGCTTTCGTCTGTTCCTACAGACATCTTCAGGTATAAAATAGATGTTGTTCTTGGTTTTTTCTCTTAGTAATAAGAGGACAACGAAAATAGGTGTTGTTGTATCCGAAAATGCTATTGAAAATGAGTTATTGGTTTTGGAACGCGCCAAAGCAACGCTGAGTTTGATTTTAAATTTTAAAGTGTTTGCGTTTATACCAAATATGGTGTTGAACAAATTTTTTTACTGGTAAATTTTTCTGTCAAAGTGGCATGAACTATATTGTTCAATAATTACAGTAATGTCGCACTTATTATCCAAAAGTCGCACATGGATCAGTTATTTAAATTACGATAAACGTGCAATCAATTTACAAATACATGAATTATTCACACAAAACTAATGCAAAGGTTAATGCTTTAAATGGCGAGACATCCATCATCGCAAACAATTCAAATAGTATACAAAAACCTCCAGATCCGTTATGAATGAATTGATCCTTGTTTATATAAATTTCTGCCGTATTAGTTGTTATTTTTACTACAAGCTTTCGTCTGTTCCTACAGACATCTTCAGGTATAAAATAGATGTTGTTCTTGGTTTTTTCTCTTAGTAATAAGAGGACAACGAAAATAGGTGTTGTTGTATCCGAAAATGCTATTGAAAATGAGTTATTGGTTTTGGAACGCGCCAAAGCAACGCTGAGTTTGATTTTAAATTTTAAAGTGTTTGCGTTTATACCAAATATGGTGTTGAACAAATTTTTTTACTGGTAAATTTTTCTGTCAAAGTGGCATGAACTA